TACTTTAACCCTACTACCAATCGACTAAAGACCATATACAGTCAAATAACTGGAGAGTTGCATCATGTAAGTGTTAAATCAGAAACAAATACGTGGAACAGAAATAGAAAGTCTGCTTATCTTACATGTCTTGACATTGAGGCCCTTGCTTGGCTGCCGCCTCAGACTGCAAGTTTTTCACGGCTGATGTCAATGTTCCCCTGAAGGAACTGGGCCACCCATACAGAAAGACGTCCGCTCAAACTCATCATTCTAGGGATACCATTCCCAGTTGCTGTATAATAGCACCACTATGACTAAATTATGTCCATCATGCCCGAACAATTACGGCACGCTCCAATTGTCTGGAACTGAACAAACGGTCTTGAGGTAGCTTCTATGCTTGCATTCCGTTCTGGATGTGTTGACGGTCTCATGGTATGCAGACACTAAAGAAAAGCATGACTCTACCAAGTGTGTTTGGAAACAGTCAGAATAGACCAATTTTCACCTGTTTAACAAAACCTCTGACAACACCACTACGTGTCAGGTGTGAGATCGTAATGTCACAGTGACTTTCACTCCAAGGCTTTGTTCCACAACCTAGTGGCTGCCTAGATAGTCGGCATTAATCTCCCAATCCAAAAGCGGTTGTATCCACCTTACTTTTTCTGACTTCCAATTCATTAGCTGCTATTAGTAAATAACTAGAACAATAACTAAGTGCAGTAAACAGTGAAGCTGTCTCCACTATACACCAGCATGTTATAGGCTATGCAGGTATTTTTTAAATACAAGTACACCATAAAAACATGTATGTACTGTAGTGTACACAATAAATGCATTGCATAAACTGATTTATTTGTAGTGTCATTACATAGTAGTTAAAGACACCTAAAGTAGGACCGAGTTGTCTAATATACCTTCTTTTGGTCAAATTCAGGAAGCATTGCATGCATGCAGAAGCCCCTTTGGGTGGCCATGGCGGAGATGCCCCTTCCGGTGACCATGGTGGAGACGCCCCTTCGGGCGGCCACGGCGGTAAAGATCCTTCTGGTGGCCACGGTGGAGAGGATTTTTCTGGTCACTGGGGACCCTTGGGTGGCCACGGCGAGGGCCTATGCACCCCCCAAAGAATACTTGGGGGAAACCACAGAGATATAAAAAGCCTCAGGGACAGGTTCTGGGACAGGGACAAGCTTTGGAACAGGCTCAGGGACCGGCTCTGGGGCAGGGACTGAGACAGTCTCAGGAACAGTAATTTCAGACGAGACGTGAACAGTCTCGGGCTTGGCAGGGCTGACGGAGAGCGCAGACTCAGCAGTAAGGCTCTTTGCTGGACGGGACCTGCCTTCTGTGCTGGACAGGACCGGCGGTGAAGGCTCGGTGCTGGACTGGACAGGCGGTTAAGGCTCTGTGCTGGACGGGACCAGCGGTGAAGGCTCTGTGCTGGACGGGACCGGCAGTGAAGCCTCGGTGCTGGACGGGACCAGCGGTGAAGGCTCTGTGCTGGACAGGTCCGGCGGTGAAGGCTCTGTGCTGGACGGGACCGGCGGTGAAGGCTCTGTGCTGGACGGGACAGGCACTGAAGGCACTGTAGTGGACAGGACCGTTGGTGAAGGTTCTGTGCTGGACGGGACCAGCGGTGAAGGCTCTGTGCTGGACGGGACCGGCAGTGAAGGCTCGGTGCTGGACGGGACCAGCAGTGAAGGCTCGGTGCTGGACGGGACCAGCGGTGAAGGCTCAGTGCTGGAGGGGACAGGCGGTGAAGGCTCTGTGCTGGACGGGACCGGCAGTGAAGCCTCGGTGCTGGACGGGACCAGCAGTGAAGGCTCGGTGCTGGACGGGACCAGCGGTGAAGGCTCAGTGCTGGAGGGGACAGGCGGTGAAGGCTCTGTGCTGGACGGGACAGGCGGTGAAGGCTCTGTGCTAGATGGGACCACCGGTGAAGGCTCTGTGCTAGATGGGACCACCGGTGAAGGCTCTGTGCTGGACGGGACCGGCAGTGAAGGCTCGGTGCTGGACGGGACCAGCGGTGAAGGCTCGGTGCTGGACGGGACAGGCGGTGAAGACTCTGTGCTGGACGGGACCAGCGGTGAAGGCTCTGTGCTGGACAGGTCCGGCGGTGAAGGCTCTGTGCTGGACGGGACCGGCACTGAAGGCACTGTAGTGGACGGGACAGGCACTGAAGGCACTGTAGTGGACAGGACCGTTGGTGAAGGCTCTGTGCTGGACGGGACCAGCGGTGAAGGCTCTGTGCTGGACGGGACCGGCAGTGAAGGCTCGGTGCTGGACGGGACCAGCAGTGAAGGCTCGGTGCTGGACGGGACCAGCGGTGAAGGCTCAGTGCTGGAGGGGACAGGCGGTGAAGGCTCTGTGCTGGACGGGACAGGCGGTGAAGGCTCTGTGCTAGATGGGACCACCGGTGAAGGCTCTGTGCTGGACGGGACCGGCAGTGAAGGCTCGGTGCTGGACGGGACAGGCGGTGAAGACTCTGTGCTGGACGGGACCAGCGGTGAAGGCTCTGTGCTGGACAGGTCTGGCGGTGAAGGCTCTGTGCTGGACGGGACCGGCACTGAAGGCACTGTAGTGGACGGGACTGGCACTGAAGGCACTGTAGTGGACAGGACCGTTGGTGAAGGCTCTGTGCTGGACAGGTCTGGCGGTGAAGGCTCTGTGCTGGACGGGACCGGCACTGAAGGCACTGTAGTGGACGGGACTGGCACTGAAGGCACTGTAGTGGACAGGACCGTTGGTGAAGGCTCTGTGCTGGACGGGACCAGCGGTGAAGGCTCTGTGCTGGACGGGACCAGCAGCGAAGGCTCTGTGCTGGACAGGACCAGCGGTGAAGGCAATGTGCTGGACGGGACCAGCAGCAAAGGCTCTGTGCTGGACAGGACCAGCGGTGAAGGCACTGTGCTGGACGGGACCAGCGGTGAAGGCTCTGTGCTGGACGGGACCGTTGGTGAAGGCTCTGTGCTGGACGGGACCAGCGGTGAAGTCTCTGAAGGACTGATGTGAGGCTTGGCTGAATACAAGGGTTCTGGCAGGATGTTGAGAATGGGCTGGTACAGGTAAAACTAACAATAACGAGGTGAGGACAGGTGACAAGGATGGTGATGATGAAGAACAGGTGGGTGATTGAGGGAGTGAGTTAAGGTGTAGAGACAAGAAGGATTCTGGGAAGTGTAGTGAAGACAAAGACAGACTGGTGCAGAGGAAGATTGTGACAGAATCAATAGATAAAGCTATAAAAGTGACTAAATGTGAGCTTAAATGTTCAATTCTCTCTATACATATACATAAACTACAGTATACTTACTAGCTTTTACTTGCACTGATATAGCAAGATTTTTTCTTTTAGTTGTCTTCTTTTATAGATAGCTATTTAACTCTTGGTGTGTAAATTTACATAACTTCGTAATATATTTAAATTTATGTAGACTTTTTGAGTTTTAATTTCTAATAGGATACTGTCTAACTAAATAGCTACCTCTCTAAAAAGAAGAAAGCCACAAAGTTCACAATGTTGTAGATTTGGAACACACCTCAAGAGCAGATCACAGTTCAGCATGCATTCCCCAGGCTAGAGAAGGGTTTGCTGGGTGAATATGAGTCACCTGGCTCTGCTGTTGAATGGCTGAAATCCAAGGGGTCAGGGGAGGGGAAGTGACACAACTATATGCAAATGCCCCACACAGAGAATTGTGGAAACGGCAGGTGGCCAGGACTCACTGATCGGCTGAGGTTCCAAGATCTGTTCTGAGTTTAGGAGAAATTGTTACAATGATGAAAACTTTGGATTAAAAAGTTATGGACTGACGTTCTCAAGACCCAACGGCAGGTTTATATAATTTAGCAAACACTCATATCTTATTATCTTATTTTTTTGTTTCTCCATCAATGACTGAATACAGACTGGATTATGTCAGAATGCTTAACAGTCCATATCAAAAAATACAGATTTATAAAGAAGAAATTAGTTGTATGAGGGTGACCTGAATAACTTTAACACAAACTGCATTTTAATTTCTGACATGTTTCTACTTTGTTCTGGGTGATAGCTAAGGTACAAAAATAACTGTAACACGTGTCCTCCTATGGCTTCTAGCTAAATTTAGGTTTTACAATACAATTTTGTGGATTTAATAAAAAATCTATTTTATTTTTGAATACATTATGAGGTTTGTGTATATGTTTGGGTCATATTTCACCCCCAAAAACAGAAATTTTGCATTTACCTAAAATATATTTCCAAGTTTTTCATGCTATGTTAAAGGTTCCTAATTTAGTTTTGGAGGTCTCCTACAATAGGTTTACATCCATCAAAGGTCAAAAAACACGTTAATTTTCTCACGATAAACATTACACATCACAACATTTCTCAATAACTCTCATTCAGTCTATCTAAATCCCTTTTTTCCGTGAGCTACTCTGCTCTGATTGGCCAGTCGGCCCAGTCTGTTGCGATTGGTCCTCTGCTTACAGCGCATGTCAGAAAACAAAACGACCATTACCATAACTGAATTTCAGCTCCGGGGGCTTCCTCAGGCCTCTGCGATTGACGTTGATTTTACCACATGAATTCGAGCGCGAGTCCAAAGATGATACATCGGAAGAACTAGCTATTCAACCAGAACCTCCATCGACAAGATGATTGGGCAGGACATTTCTCAGGGATACGTTAATCGGTTTGATGTACATTATGTATGTCCATCAACAAACCAATGTGTAAATTTCAAATTTTTGCAGTATGCATGCGGGAACTTTTTCAATAATATCAGTATCAATAACAGTGCATATGTAAGCTGAGCACTAACATGAATGACTGATGTAACATTTCAGTTTTCAAAAACAAATCTTGCTCCATCCATATCATTACTCAAAGTAGTAAGACCAACAGACAATCTGCCTTAATTTTGGCTTTTTTCAGACTGCAAGAGATTAGGGACTTTACATTCCACAAAGAAACTATGAGAAGCATTCAACAAAAAAAGAGCAATTCAGCCAGACATACTCACCAACTGTGTCACAAGGCTCATCTTTGTGGACACAAAAATCTGTTCTAGAGAGAAAACAAGACCAGAGACACAAATGTTAGCTAATAGGAATGAAAAATCACAAATAATGTTTCAGTCATATACAGTGTTGTGCAAGTTACTTCCAAACTGTAATACATTAGGTATTACTTGTTACTGTTATTTAAAAGTAATTCATTACCTTACAATATTACTGTCTCAGAATTGTAATGCGTTACATTACTCATGTATTACTTTTGAGTTACTTTCACCAAAATAACTAAGTAGAACTTAACTTTTGGGCTGTAACGATATGCAATATGAAACCGAAATCGCGATTCGCCACACGACTCAGATCCACGAACCTACAGAATCGCGACACACCTCTTCCAACTCCAGCGTTATTCTCCTTACCGTCCAGATCCAATGCTGCCTTATCTTTAAATTAGGCTATTAGTATTATTTGAAGTTAACATTATAAAATACGTAGACCTACACCACAAAACTGGTTGAGGATAAATGATTTAAAATTGGGGAAGTCCAGCATTATGGACATCACATTTGCAGTCAAAACGTGAAATAAAAATTCTCAGAAAATACATGTATTGAAACGTATATAGGCTACTTCCTTAAAGGACTCCAGACATTAGACAAATATGAGTCTATGTTTTATTTTTAATATTAGGGAAAAGACACACATTCATGCGTGACAAATAAAATATATTTTTTGTAATTCTGTTAATTACACTGCGCAAATCGGATAAGGAAGGGTTGGCTCTGCAGTCTTCATAGAACTTAAAATATTCATTTTATTTCAGTTTTCGTGTTCGCATTTATGAGGAAAAAACAATGTTACAGACGCGACCGCTCTGAACTGGCACTAAAAGACTGCTTTAAAACTTTCACATAGTCTGTTGCCTTTAAGAAGTAAAAGCAGACAATACACTGTAATACAACTGTAATACAAGCCTCATTGAACATGTAACGAGTAAAATATTACTGAAAATTGATTAGTAATGCCTTACACTACTGCGTTACAGCAAAAAGTAATATGTTACTGTAATGTATTACTTTTGTAATGCGTTACTCCCAACACTGGTCATATATTACATTTTCACAGCATTGAGATTAAACAGAGCACATGTAGACTGTTGTCTCATCATATTTCCTGCAGTTAATCTCACATGAGTCCAAGATCTCAACAATGGCCAGATTTCCACTGTCGGGCCAAACCGTTCTCTTTGCTTAACCGTTCCATTCCGTGCCAGCCGGTACTGTTTTGGTTTCATTTTCCACTATTGAGCTGATAACGGAGCTCTTTGGAACGTCATATACAAATGCAAATACAAATTTTTTTTATTAATTTGTGTTTACATCACTCAAATAGCCCACTTAGATAGCTACAGAGAAACTGATAGCAAGGCAACAGTGCCAACCATCCCAACCATGCTGAGAACTCCAGGTCAAGAATAGTTTCTAATCGTGTTGTGCCGAACCAGGCTCAAGTGAAAACATAACTGGAACCGGTCCTTACCGCTCTTAGAACCGTTCGGCCCGACTGTGGAAAAGCGTTGTCCAAACTATACTCAGATACCAAACGTCAGAGCTCCTAATATGAACTCAAACATTTCTCCTTTAATTTTTCCAACAACGAATTGAGCTGTATTCTATTTACATTAATTTATAACTCTGTGTTCCTTCAGTATGTCAATTATTGACTAATTTGTGTCTATTGTTTCTCACAAGACAACTGACATCTGAGGCTAGATTGACACAAATAAAACATAACTGAGATGTTCATTGCCTCCTGAGCTTTGAAAGCAATAAAATGCATCTTTGTGCACTTTCATTTTCTAGCATATTAATTATGTATGAGAGAAATAAACTAACCAGTTTCAAAACAAAGAAAAAAGCAAACATTAAAGGGAAAAAAAGCAAAGCAAAAAAACAGGGAATGAAAAGCTGAAATAGAATATCTTGAGAAGTATATGTTTATCTGAAAATGTTTTGTGTTTGTTTGGATGCCTTTTGTCTGAACCTGACCTCTGATGGTTAAATATTGCCATGTGGGAAAACCACAGCACTGTTGCTGTAAACGTGTGCTCCTGTCCCCTTATGTGGCTTTCCTCTACTGGTTTAGGGAGTGACACTTCAAAATATCAGCAAAGTAATCGAATCCAGCTCATGTCATGCTCGACTCTAGAAACGATTTAGGTTTCATGAGGATTGAACCAGCCACAATGATCAAGAGCCAGCAGACAAGAGTAGCATGAACTCAACATGGCACCAAAACTTCAGACAGAGATGGCAGTAGAGCGTTGCTGTGACTTCTGATGCATAAAACCACTAACTAGCACTCAAAACAGACAATCAAACCCACTAAGGTGAATCACACAAAGCTTGTAAAAGAACATGTCTGGGGTTATATTTTACCCCAAAAATAAATTTTGCATTTAAAGGGGTCATATAATGCCATTTTCATACAAGTTAAGTTGATTCTTTAGGGTCTAAATGAAAAGTTTGTAATTTACTTTAATTTGATTGATTTGAGGCAGGGGAAAACATATAAGATTAAAACAAAAAATAGATGTATTTTTATGATTACAGGATGGTTGTGTACAGGCACTGCCAACACACATTTCAGTACAATCAGCTTGAAAAAGTGCATGAACCATTATATGACCACTTTAAAAATATTTGTGTGGTACCAAAACATATGTTCCCAAAAAATTGTACAAATAAAATAAAAACATTTCACTCCAAAAAATGCATTTAAAAATGTAGAACCTAAAATATTATCCTAAAAAATAAAATAAAATTATAACATATTCACCACATTTTGGCATAGATTCAACAAGGTACCACATCACGCAGTTGCTGCAGATTTGCCAGCTGCACATCCATGATGTGAATCTCCCATTCCATCACATTTCGAAAGGTGCTCTTTTCTATAGAGATCTGGTAACTGTGGATGCCATTTGAGTATAGAATGATTTCTGTGAGGATTATGTTTAGGAATAGAATTAGGAGATATACAGTTTGTACAGAATAAAAATTATTTTTATGAAAATTCTCCATAAATCGTGGAAACCCATAATTTTATAGTTTTGAAACCCGAAATGGATAGTTCCATCCAGACTTGATTGATTGATTGATTGATTGACTACAGATCAGTGCTAATAGTTTTTTGTCACTACAGTGGGGCTAATGTGAGTGTGCTGAGAATTATGTCAGAGCTCTGTGGTCCTATGGAACAAACAGTGAATGTCTAATAGCCAGGGCTGGGTGTGAAATAGCAAACAGATGCTTTAGAAGGGGCCATTTTCCCACGTACCCATCTGATGACTGAGCAAGGTCCTGACAGCTTCAAGTCAGCATCTGGGAACGAATCAATGTGAAGTTGCACTATACATACTTCAGGGCTCAGGGTGTCTAGAGAAGTGCAGACAGACAGAAGAAGGCAGAGAGAGAGAGCGAGACGCAGAACAAAAAAAAGAAAGAGACTAATGCAAACACCAAACAAGACTTTATGTCTGGATATCGTCCAGTCTCACTTACAAAAAGCAGCATTGCCCCCCACCCCCCACTTCCTGACTGGCCTGATTTCAAACAGATTTGTCCCCACATTACATGCAGACAGCACAGCTCCTCCCTGCCACCAAAGGAAACCCATCTGACATCCAAGAATATCTAAGCAGAAGTTTTTTGTTTTTGTTTTTTGCTTTCTCAGCAGAATACGAGTTGTACCAAACACTAACAAACAAACTAAACAAGCTTGCTAAAGTACAATTACACAACCCATCAGGGTCAAAGTCACTTCAAGAAGGTACCTTTGAATCTCTCAATAAGCAGCCGACATTTATGATTGAAAAGCATTCCTGAGTCTAGCACAACCATGTTCAATGCCTTCAAATTTTCTAACAACAAAAAGCTAAAGATGTCTGCTGTGCTTCCTCTTGTAATTGGCATGGTCAGGGCTGAACTCCAGCAGACTCCAAGCCTGTAATTTGACTTTACCAAAACCATTTTTGAGCTTAAACAATGAATACGAGGTGAGGAGAACCAGAAAACTAGAAAAATCATAAAATAAATACTGCTCTTTAGAAATAAATGATCTGGTATTCAAGCTATATAATTAAAATAACAATGTCTAATATAATATTACATATCTTTAATAGTCAATTTCACATATGGAACAAGAAACATCTGGTATTTATGCAATGGTTTCCCATCTTTTAGGCTTATTATTATTCACATAGCACCAAATGATGATGAAACTACAAATTTGTGTCTCTTGAAAAAAAACTTTTCCTAAGTCAGTCAGTTTAACATAATTTAAATTCAACCAAGTTGAATATACAATGAATACAACTCGATTTTAAGGCAGCAAGTTGAAATTAGTGTAAATTTTCTAAAGAACACCTTGTCTATATAGTGTTCTTTAAATTACGAGGTTGTAGTTTTGGATGCTAGTTTCAGAGTAGTTTCCCAACACTAGTGGTACCACAAGTGGGCAACAAATGACAAACTAAAACATCAAAGGACCTTTGAGATGGTTAGACCGAAAAAAAAAATCAAATAGGACATGAGAATTAACAAAGAAGTTGTTTATTACTAAACATCAGACAGCTAAGATGGATGTCTCTTGTTTTGAGTCTACAATCATCAAACATTTGCACCATACGTGCTCTGCAACATGTCTCTTTGGCTGTCTGATGTCCCTCTAATTCCAAAGCGTTTTTGATGTGGGCTTCTGGTTTCCCTTCCTGTTCCTTCACAGCTTAAGTGAATGCGACACACAGCTGGGTGCTGAAGACGAATCCCGTTTAGCCAAGGATGGCTAGGAATGGATACAGTTAGGCATACTGATTTCCATTAGCGCTGACATGCATGGGGGACTGTGTCACAACTGCTGCAAAACTGTCCAGGCGAGACCAATTCTAAACTCTTCCTGCATAACAGTAATGCAGCTTTCCTTTCAACTCAGAAAGTCAGTGCAATAGACTACGATTATTTTTTAAGCACAGCTTGTCAGTGAAGCACAGCACTGTGATCAATAAATGCTGCTCCATCTGAAAAGACTGCGAGTTTGAGTCGCTTATAACGTGCAGTTGAGAGCCCTACTTCAAATATAACAGCAGAGTTGCTATTTTGATCCATCTATCTATCTATCTATCTATCTATCTATCTATCTATCTATCTATCTATCTATCTATCTATCTATCTATCTATCTATCATAAAACAGTAAAACAAGACTTTGGTGAACATTCAACATTTGATGCACAATCCTGATACACACTCAAGTTACGAGAGTGACAACTGCATTTAATTCAGGAGTAAATTCTGTTCCGTATTCATTAGGACAGCAGTTGCTCACTTTAACCTGTAATAATATTAGATAGTGAATGCATTGTTGAGGAGGATACAGTAGAGTACATGGTAGCTGTACTGAGATAGCATCCCTTTACCTGAAATAGTTCTTTAAAATGCACAAAATGAGCACAGATTGGTAAATTAGGATTTTATGAGGGTCTTAGTGAAGGGCTGATTGTATTCTGAATCCCTTTATACCCGGCGGCTCCATCATTGTTTTTTTCTTCACATACAAGGCAATTTTGGGCAAGGCACCTCTCTATTTGTCATCCCTACTTCATGCAGCTCATAACACCTATCACACAAGATCAAGTAATTTGATTAAATTTAGTACCCCCCCCACTTCTACTACCTTTGGACGTAATGACTGGAACATACTACAAAATACCCTGAAACTCACATCTCTGATCCCAAACTCCACCTTTCAGCAAAACCTCGTAAGTAACATAGTTGAATATTGTTCCTGCTGACAATCATGAACCATATTTATACACACATTTTTAAGCACTATTCCTTTTCTTTTTCCCCTTTGTTAACTATCTTTTTTGAATTTAGTTGCTTGTTCTATGTGTTAGGTGTTTGACTATGTACAGCTGTACAGTATGTTCTTATTTATTCCTGTAGCCTATGAAAAGTGGTTCTCAAAGTGGTTTACCTGGATAAATAAAGGTCAAATAAATAAATAAATAAAAATAATGAGTTTAATCTCTGGGAACTCAGCAATTTTGGTGCTATTAGATTTGAGTGTGGCATTTGATAAAGTTGATCATGACATTCTCTTATCGTGTCTTGAAAAGTGTGTGGGCATTCAAGGAACTGCCCTTAGATGGTTCCGATCTTACTATAGTAATAGAACATTTTCAGTGGGTATTGGTCACGCTGCATCATCTGTAGCACAAGTTACCTGTGGTGTTCCTCAAGGGTCTAATCTGGCTCCCATTTTATTTTCACTATACATGCTACCACTGGGCTTCATTTTTAGGAAGCATGGAGTGTCTTTTCTTTTTTATGCAAATGACACCCAAATCTATCTCCCTTTGAAACATAATGACAAGCGAGGCCTAGAAACTTTGCTTGCCTGTTTAATTGATGTACGATCTTGGATGTCCTTGAATTTCTTGCACTTAAATAAGAGTAAGACTGAAGCAATTGTTTTTGGCCCCTCTGTGGGAAAAGCAACCCTGAATACTAATTACGATTATTTTAAACTCTTATATTAAACCCACTGTGAAAAATCTGGGAGTTCTTTTTGATCCATCTGTCAAGTTTGACCAACATGTAAAGTCTTGTTTTTTCCATCTTAAACTTGTCCAACATCTTTTAACTTGTCCAAAGTTAAAACTTTTCTATCTGTTAACAATATTAAAACAGTCACACATGCTTTTGTTTTATCTCGTTTAGACTATTGTAATTCACTGTACATTTGAGCCAGGGTTCATTTTTAACTGGGGTTCATAAACGAGAAATTATTGTCTCTAAAATGGTTGCCAGTGTGTTATAGAGTTGAATAAAAAAAAATGTTGCTAGTTTTTAAGGCTTTGACTGGTCTGGCACCATCCTATCTGTCGGATATTTTAAATGTGAAAAAGTCAACAAGATGCTTGCGATCCTCTGGTCATATCTAAGATCAAGATTGAAGTTGCGAGGTGATCGTGCGTTTTCAGTGGCCGGTCCTAGGATATGGAACAGTCTTCCCTTATCTGTGAGGTCTTCAACATCTGTACATGAATTTAAATCTAAGATACAGTCTTATCTTTTTACTATTGCATTTCATTCATAACTTTGGTTTTTCTAAACCCTAAACTAGAATTTTAATTTCTGTTATTACTGTATTGTGTGTGGTTCGTTTTAGACTTCTTCATTTGTACAGCACAGTGGTCAACTTCTGTTGTGTTTATTTGTGCTTTATAAATAAATGAAATGAAATTAATCTTTTAAAAGAGCAGTGAGAATCGCATCTATGTGGCCGTAAATACATTAAGAAGATAATCTTTCTTCAGTCAGCAAGTGCCGAGCGAGGGACGAGCCACTGTCAACTCCTACAAAGCTGTGAGAGGGGAAACCGAGGCGCACCTTGTCAAGCCTTAATTTGCTCTGATGCATTCTCGCTGCCCCGAGCCATCTTGGCACCCAAGACGAGACAGATGTTGCTCCTGTACCTCGCATCCTTACAGAGAGTTCCTTTTGTACGCCAGCGGAGATCATATTTAACCCGGAGCAGGGGGAACAAAGGCACTCTCTGTGTGAGCTCGCTCTCCCTGCGAGCTTCTCGGGTCCAGGATGACAGATATTATCTGACAGGATCACATGATTTAACAAAAGGATTTTCTTTTTCTTTACTTTTTTTGAATCTGAAAATAACATACGCTAAAGCCTAACCCCACGCCGGGAATGCAGTGTTTTGGCCGCCGCTAGTAATCTGTTGTACTGAAAAGATGAAGATTGGGAGCAAACTTGCTTCGCTGACAGAAGGATTATTAGGGTCTATCACAGCTCAGATACTGGCAGGTTCAAATTGTGTTGGATCTCAATAAAAGGGATGAAAAAAGGTTAAATCTGTCTTAAACAACCAAGAGCTGAAAGATACAGGACTTCAAAGGATGTGAGTGACAAAACGGAAAGTGAAAGATGTAAAAAAAAAAAAAAGAAAAAAAAGAAAAGATGGACTGCGATGGAGAAAGAAAAGCGAAATGAAGAATAATATCTGTGCAGATGTGATAGGCCCAAAAAGTATTTTGGATTCAGAAATAACACTTAAAATATATGAATGCAATTGCATTACTTTGCAAGCATCTCAAAAGCTGCAGGATATTTTAACTTTCTTCATTGTTTTTGGTCTTTTAATCAACTGGTGTATTGGTAATTTTTGTGGATGTATGAAGCTCTACTCAAGTTCACACAGGTGTGGGGTTCATTACATTAACTATGAACAAGATCCAGTACTATATGAAGGGTTCAGATGCAAAAGCCTCTAAATGCCATTTGAAATTTTCATCTTTAATGATGATTTTTATCAAACTTGTATATTTAAGTTCAGTAATTTCAGTTAAATAACAATTAATAGGTAATTATCATTGTCATTTAAGTGAAATTACTGAACTTAAATATACAAGTTTGATAAAAATCATCATTAAAGAAGAAAATTTCAAATGGCATTAAGAGGCTTTTGCATCTGAACTCTTCATATCTACTAAGAGTGTTTTGCTCGTGCTATCTTTTTTTAAATAAATGAATTATAAAATAAATGAAATGAATAAATCATAATTCTATGATTGTTTAAGCATGATTAATCATTACCTGGTGACCAGCACAGCCACGTCCACAGGAGGAGGGTCATCTCTGCTCCCAGGAACATGATTGCTACCCAAGTATCGTGCGCCGTATTCCTCATGCTGCCAGTGACAGAAGCTCTCCAAGGCTTTTTCGCCATGATGGCCTACCTTCAGCTTTTCCTGAGAGCACATTGGACAATATTAGAATTTAATTATAAGACTATGATAAAGCAAAGGTTTAAATTAAATGTTTGCCACTTTATAAGGAATAACCTTCAGTGGTCATTTAAACATGAAATGTCCATTCACCTTACATGCTGGTGAACTGCAGGATTTGTTTTTTTCCTTTAAAACAGTAAGACGTAATGATTTCTATCCCACACAGCATTGTTTTCATTTGTTAACAACAAGGACACATTAAATTGACCAAAATTAAAAACTTTTACATTGTTACAAAATCATATTCAAATATATGCTGTTCTTTTGAACTTTCTATTCATCAAAGAATCCTGAAAAAAATGTGTAAATGTTTCTACAAAAATATAAAGCAGCACAACTATTTTCAACATTGAGCACCAAATCAGCATATTAGAATGATTTCTGAAGGATCATGTGGCAATGAAGACTGGAATTATGATGCAGTGTGAAAACAGTTTTAAATTGTAATAATATTTCACCATATTACTGTTTTTACTCTATTTTAGATAAAAAACGTACAGTAGGCTTGGTGAGCATAAGAGACTTCTTTCAAAAACATTACCAATTCCAAACTTTTAATGTGTGTCTCTGCATGCATGATCACCAATATTTTTAGTCCAATTTTAAATGTGTATCTAATAAAAGTCTGTCAACTTGTAGAAGTACACCAGCACATATTGTTTAGCATCAAAGATAACAGTCTCCATGGATCATTAATTTCTTTATGAACTTCCTCTGACATAAACATGGTCTTTATTGATTCATCGATCACACAACGCCATCAAAATACTTTTGAAAATTGCTGGTGTTATTCGGCTGGACTTGAAGTCAGTTTGCTTCAAGCATCTCTATCATTTTCCTGACTATCTTACTGATATCAGAGATTGTGAGTACAAAAGGTTTGCCCTGAAGCAACATTACACACACACTAATGGCTATTGAGTGCCATCCTGACATACGTAATTTTACAATTTAGATGTGAGTACTTAAAAAACCTTCTCGCAGACACTGCGGAGCCTTTAGAGAGAATGCAATCCAGCAATAAAATCGAGGGGAAAACCAGTAGTTAAAACACACACACACAGAGAGAGAGAGAGAGCGAGCAAGATAACATCGCAGGTCCTGAAAATAGGAATAAAACAGCAAAGGAGAGAATAAATGATTGAGTAACTACATACATAGATCTGGCTGTTAATCTAGTGTGTGTACATAGTGTGGGTCACACTTACTGGACGGGTGTGCAGAAGAACTAGCTTGGTGACCCGGATGTTGAGCCACACACCCAAACTCTGGTGTTGAAACATGTTATAAACCTATACAAAGAGAACAAGACAAGAACAAGACAATTGACCTAATGATCAAATATGCAATATCACATATAAAAATAAATATTACAAAGTTTACGTGGCGAGCAGGACGAGTTCGAGGACTGTGGGAGGAAAGCGCGAGGCCAGTGGCGTGATTACTGATGAACGACACCTGTCTCGTATCTCTCATGGAGGAGCAGAAGCAAAAAAGGAGGAGGAACGATCGTGAAGAGGAACATGCCTTGATTTTACGTGATGTTTTGTTTCTGTTTTGTGTGGCCAGCAGTCGTCCACGAGCAGTGTTGGGAGTAACGCATTACAAAAGTAATACATTACAGTAACATATTACTTTTTGCTGTAACGCAGTAGTGTAAGGCATTACTAATGAATTTTCAGTAATATTTTACTCGTTACATGTTCAGTGAGGCTTGTATTACAGTTGTATTACAGTGTATTGTCTGCTTTTACTTCTTAAAGGCAACAGACTGTGTGAAAGTTTTAAAGCAGTCTTTTAGTGCCAGTTCAGAGCGGTCGCGTCTGTAACATGTTTTTTCCTCATAAATGCGAACACGAAAACTAAAATAAAATGAATATTTTAAGTTCTATGGAGACTGGAGAGCCAACCCTTCCTCATCCGATTTGCGCAGTGTAATTAACAGAATTACAAAAAATATATTTTGCCTCCTATTTTTTTTGTCACGCATGAATGTGTGTCTTTTCCCTAATATTAAAAATAAAACATAGACTGATATTTGTCTAATGTCTGGAGTCCTTTAAGGAAGTAGCCTATATACGTTTCAATACATGTATTTTCTGAGAATTTTTATTTCAAGTTTTGACTGCAAATGTCATGTCCATAATGCTGGACTTCCCCAATTTTAAATAATTTATCCTCAACTAGTTTTGTGGTGTAGGTCTACGTATTTTATAATGTTAACTTCAAATAATACTAATAGCCTAATTTAAGGATAAGGCAGCATTGGATCTGGACGGTAAGGAGAATAACGCTGGGAGTTGGAAGAGGTGTGTCGCGATTCTGTAGGTTCGTTGATCTGAGTCGTGTGGCGAATCGCAAGTTCAGTTTCATATTGCATATCGTTACAGCCCCAAAGTTAAGTTCTACTTAGTTATTTTGGTGAAAGGAACTCAAAAGTAATACATGAGTAATGTAACGCATTACAATTCTGGGACAGTAATATTGTAAGGTAATGAATTACTTTTAAATAACAGTAACAAGTAATACCTAATGTATTACAGTTTGGAAGTAACTTGCACAACACTGTCCACGAGGGGCTGCTGGCTTGTACTTTTATTTTTGTATTTATTTTATTTTGTTTCTCTTGATCTTCACGATCGTCGCTCCTCCTTTTATGCTTTCGCTCCACCGTGAGAGATACGAGTCATCACGCCACTGGTCTCGCACCGCTCTCTCTCAAGGGTCTCGACCTCATCCTGCTCGCCACATTTCAGTTTTGAATGTTATGCTATTGTTTTGCAGTTTGGGTTTAACAATGACCAAAGACAAAGCTTTGATGGAATACTTACTTAAAATTCAGTTAAAATATGTATACAGCCAAAACATGAAGAATCTAGTAGTCAAAGATAAAATGTCTGTTAAATGCCAAGCAGGCACGTTATAAGCTAATGTTGGTCTCAAAATAGCCCCATATAACAGCTAGGCAGATAAGTTATCTGATATTGGGCTATTTTGATACCAACATCAGGTTATAACATGCCTGCTTGGCATTTAACGGACATTTAATACCATTGCTGTCAGGTCCATTAAGTCAAGAACACACATGACATTAAATGATTAGGAAATTGTATTGAATAAATTGCAATTCAAGTTGATAATTAAAATTTGGCGGTATGGCTCTGTTTAGGGAGTCCTCTGACCTTACATGAGCACCATGAAATAGCAGAGTCAGAGGACAGCAGCAACGCTCACAGTTTAGCACTGGGAGAGCAGAACTATTCTCCTATATGAACAGAGCAGCAACGATGACAGAAAAGCAAATGCCATGTTATACACGACAAGGAAGAGCTGGGTTGCAGACAGCGAGCAGTAAGGAGTGAAGTGAATCTGCTTAAATAGGGAACCCTGTTTTGAGTGTAGTCATTAGCAGCGAGGAGAGATGAACAGCAGATGCGCTGATGCAGCTCAGCTGAGCGATCACTGATGAGACCGTGTAGTCGGCCGATAGCGTAAGCAGCATCTTGACTACCTGGCCTGCCAGAACTGACACTGATTTCAATGAAGTGAATAGAGTAAGCCGTTGTCTCAATTGTACATGATGTTTTATTGGTTAAATACCGTTGGCCAAAAACAGTTCCAAAATCTACAGACACCTTGCGCAGATGATGCAAAATATTGTGTAAATAGTGAGTAAAAGCATCGCCATTTGCCAATTCAATCTCAGTCAATTTGCTAAACAATAACTTCTGATTTACAACATCTCTAAATAAAGGAAGATAAAATAATCCAGAAAGAAATAGGAGTTGAGCTTTCATCACCTTCACAGAGTACGCTGTGTGATTCACAATAAAAAAAAATGCACTATTGTACAGAAAAAAATCAACGACAATTCCATGCGGGATAAAGTTAATGAAGAAGTATAGAGCTCCACTGAAGGGAGGATTCAGATATTGATGAGTAACCAGCATCTGGAGGGGAATATCAGAATAACAGCACGATTTTCCACAGTGTTGTCGAACTCGTCTGTGAAGAATGGATTTATAAGGTCCGCAGGGAGGACAAAAGGAGGTGTACTTTCTTACAAAATCCCACACAGCTGGGCAATTCATTCATTTTTACATTAATCTTCATATGACTCATCTTTGTCATTAGAGATACAGTAGAGACGGCCGTTCTTGAATTGATGAGCTTTGCTTTACCACAGCAGATGCAGTGAGGTGTTGTTTTGTGGACTGTTTTACAGATCAGTATTTAGTTTGTTTGTACTTAATTACACAGACTCGTTTCCAGACGCTCGCAACGCACGCTGTGTTTACGAACCTGTTCTGAATGAGAGTGAGGTCATTCACTCTGGGATGAACTGAAATACACAAATCAAGAAAATTTTGCACTGAAAAGACATGAAAAGTTATTTTTGTGGCTGACCTTATTGCATATATGCATTTGTAGTAGATTCCCTTTGAGACGCAAAATGGGAGGAGAGTATTTAAATGAATCATGCAAGGTGATTTACTAATGCCGAGTTCAGACTGCATGGTTTTCAAAGTAGTCGCTGTTCTTTTCACACTGCAACATGGTGCTATAAAACCAGGCGATGCCATTGAGACGAGCGTCGGAGGCGGAGCTGGAGTACCCGAGGACTGGTGCAATGCTGGTGTGACAGAGGACAGAGGCGATGCCGAGAGACGGAGCGCAGCGGACAGCTCGTATGTCTGTGGTGGAAGTAGAGAGACAACGGACCACGGGGGAGCCGGTAGGACAACACGAGTAACAAATATCCGAAAGGCAACAGATGGTGGCAAAACACGTAAACATAAGAGAGACCCAACAAAGAATGAATGTCTACTAACTGGTAGATTGTGTTGGTCATTTGGAAATGATCCGGCTGTGTCGGTGTTAATTTGCGCTTCATCAATAGATCACAAGCTTTCCACTCCCATTGGAGCTTTTTTGGAATTGCGCTCTCACGCTAAATTACCCTGTTTACAGCGCTCTCATTTTTGTAACAGAGCCCATGTGATAAAAGAGAAGTGTGTGTGCGTGAATGTGTGTCCGAGAGCTGCCGACTCATGAATGTCACACATTGCACAGCTGCGGTGAGCAGAGCAAATGTTACACTCACACAATCTCTCCCAACCACTATCCATTACTCTAGTGTACAAAGTCTCTGTTACATGCAAATCATGCAAAATATGTAGTGTAAACTATCTAAACCAGGTTTATTATTAACAAAAATTAAAAATAGTATTATTTAATTAGCTCTTATGAAAAAAAGAGTTATATTTTTTTTTTATGATTTGTTAAATGTGCAATATGTATTTTTTTAGCGGCCTCTATCGGTGATGTTTCAGATTGCAACCAATTTTTACAAGAGCGCTAGTGCTCTTGCGCGTGCTCGAAGACAAGAGCGAGCACTCATGGTACCGGCCACACTGAGACTTTCAACACACCGGAGAAAGCATCACACAACATGCTGGAAACTCATATAAACTACTACTCCATGCTCGTACCATGATAACGTTACATTGACTGCAACTAGTAGGGATTAGAACCCAGAACCTCTGACACACTTGGCAAAAGTTCTACCTCTGGACCATTAGAGTTCATGGGGATAATTGTCGGATCTATGTATTTAATCACGTGAAAATTCTCATCACTAACAACATATATTAGATCTCATTAAATGAGAAATTAAACACAATGTACTATTGTATACTATGTAACACGCCATGTCACGCTCTGCGTGAGTGCAGTAACGTTAAATTCAAGTACTCCACAGCGACGCTAGGGGTCGCTGTTTGAAAAAAAAAAAAAAACGTGATTCCTGCATAATACCCCTTTAACTTAATTAGTTGTAAATAGTAAATAGTTTGCACTTTAGATTAGGTCACGGCTAATAAGAAAATGTCATTAATTAAGTGCTTTAAACCAACCTTTATTAGACATTAATTCCATCAGTATTGAATTTAGTTTGAACAATATAAAACAACATTTGCCACAACATAAGCAAACTGTGTGTGTGTGTATTTGTATTTAAATAATTATGTATTTGTAAACAATTTAAAGAACACTGAAAATGAATGTGATTAATGTGTAATAAAGGTTGGTTTAAACTTTAAAGCACTCAATTAATGAAAGTTTTCCATTTTCCCTAATCTAAAGAGGGAACTATTTTTCTATGAGCCAATTAAGCAATAATAATTGTGTTAATTACAGTGAAAATTAATGAAGGATTTACTATTTGTATATAGACTAAAGTTTTGTTTTGTTTTTTTTTTTTTTGTCTAAAGGTTCATTAAACTTCAATTTAAAAAAAAGATTTTTCTGACTATTACATACTATGTCAGCCTATATGTTATGTGAATATGTGACTCACCATGTTCATGACAGTGAGCAGGAAACGTTGGGCAGCCTCAGCACCGTGGTACTGCACCATATTTGCGTCAGCCACCACGACCGTCTCCACAGTGTACTCTCTACTCAGCCTAATGGCGTTCCTCCTGCCACGCACCTCCTCTGCTCCTTTTGCCCTTTTCTCCTTCTTCTTGTCTAACACACACACACACGTACAAAAATGGAACTGTTAGGCCAGAGAAATACTACTGTACACTCCCATTCAAATGTTTGGGGTCGGAAAGATTTATTGATGTTTTAGAAAGTCTTTTATGCTCACCAACGCTGCATTTATTTGATCAAAAATACAATAAAAACAGTACCATTATGAAATATTATCGCAATTTAAAATATTTTTTTCTATTTTAAATATTTTTTAAATGTAATTTATTCCTGTGACAGCAATGCTGAATTATCAGCATCATTGCTCCTGTCTTCAGTGTCACATGATCTTTTTTAAATCATTTTAATATGTGGACTTGCTACTAAGGAAACATTTCTTATTATAATTATCAACATTGAAAACAGTTGTACTGCTTAATATTTTTGTGGATGACCATTTTGTGGAAAACAAATTTCAGGATGTTTTTATTTAATAGAAAGTTCAAAAGAACAGCATTTATTTGAAATAGAAAAATGTAACATTATAAATGTCTTTACTGTCAGCTTTGATCATTATCAAAAGTATTTTTAAAGCATTTCTATTAAAAAAAGAAATGTATGGACCATTCTTGTGAATAGTTGAATACTTTATGCAAACATGAATGCTTCATTAACACATTTCAAGCGTGCATAAAATCCAGATTACATGTACTTGTGCAGGGTATGTTTCATGTTTTTGCATCAAACCTGCAATTATTTCAGGAAATGTGTTTTTTGTTACTCTGAAAGACATACATATGTATACAAAGACATTGAGATTGATACATAGGACAAACACAGAATTACAGTTCCTGGAGCTCATAAACAAATCAACAACAAACAGAAAGAAACTCTTCAAACATTACGGCCATAAAGCACAATGTTTGACTGAACCTGCTCTAAGCAGGGGACAAGCACAGTTCATCCTCAGAATTACACCACATACTGTATGTTGTGTGTGCACAATTAGACCTGATCTCAACAAAGGCCACAGCTTTACTGTAACCAAAACCAAAACTTTGAGAGAGCCAATGTCCACCAGAAATAAGACCAGACCGAAAGAGACAGAAATAAAACCAAACCGGTTTTATTGTGACTGATTGAAAGGTACATGTTTAAAAAAATTATTGTTTTTGTAACTTTTATATGCAAATTTAATAATGGCATTGGCCGAGAACTATACGTAACATGAGGCCATGAGGATTTGTAAGATAAATGGCTGACAACTGATCCCGTCACTAGCCTGTCAGCAGGTAAAATCCATTCATAATTCACTTTCACCACAACCAACAATCACACACAAATGGTATAGGAACAGATAGTGTTCCTTCTTGGTGTGAACTTTTCATAGTCTGGTTGCAGTTGCATTTCCCAAATAAACATGAGCGTGTAAGTGTTTATTTACTGAAGACACCTGTAAACATGTGATGATCCATTATCTTGGGGAAAAAAGCAAAGCGTTTACCAGAACACAAATGAAAACATAAATTCCAGTTTTCTAAAGTATCATTTTCCACCATCTGGAGACCCGTTTTGGTTTATTTGCTAGGTTGCACAAACCCACCGATTTGTCTTTAAAGCTCCCAAAATGTTGGTTCAAACTGTTTCGCTTTGTCCAGCTGTTTTATCGTTAAGTCAAAAAAAAAACAAAAAAAAAAAGTAGTATTAGCTTTGACTAATACCAAAGTCCTTTTAAGAAAAGTCATTTCACTCGGCGGCCATCTTTGAAACGTTTCTCGGGCATGCAAGTGCAGCTCTTTGAATGGGGAAACATCAAATTCTCCAAAACTGTTCGCCAAGCTTAAGATTAAATTTCATATTTGAAATCCCTTCATGAAAAAATCTTCATGCTGGACCAAGCTAATGTGCATGCGCAGTCCTAAGCACACTGAACAATGACCGTTTCGACAGGAACCGGAGCTTCTAATCGCAGCTGCGGTGATGCAATGACTTTACCAATCAGTGATGGACTCTTATTTAGAAGGCGGGACTTATTCTGTCATATTGCACGTGTTGCACTTTCTCACGATCATACATTAATTGAAGGCATTTATCCAGTGCTTTGGCATCACATATGAAACCATTGCGATCAAAAGATGGAAACTTCCGCTAGGAGATAAGCACTTGTGTGTGAATACAAGCAAGTGCTACTGCACTGATGTGCTGGTAACTTATCTGCAAACTATAATCATGTTAACTTTAACTAATGCAAGTTTACAATATCACATTATGCATCTTAGCATTTACCGTAGAACAATTAATCCTAAAAAAATGGCAACACCAGTGTTGTTATTGTTCACTTAAACTATTAAAAAAAAATTATTAATTGAAATAAAGCTGAAATAAATTTTATTTTACTACAAACTTTAAAAATGAAATGACTTCAATTAAAACTTAATAAATAACAGCTAAATATAAATATGAAAAAAATATTCATATTCAAATATTCATTCAACAAGTACAAATCCAACTTAAAGGGTTAGTTCACCCAAAAATGAAAATTAAGTCATTAATTACTCACCCCCATGCTGTACCAACCCCGTAAGACCTTCGTTCGTCTTCGGAACACAAATGAAGATATTTTTGATTAAATTTGAGAGCTGTATAACTACCACATTGGCTCCTAAGGGACTGCCTCTTGACGGCCCAAAAAGTCAATGAAGAAAATGTTTAAATATCCCAAGTGACTACCGTGGCTCAACTATATGTTTATCAAGCGACGCGAATACTTTTTGTGCGAAAAAACAAACAAAAATAACGAGTTTATTCGACTATTTCTTTTCTTCCTTGTAGGCCAGAACGAGACTTCCTTATAGATTTCCACGACGCATGCGCGAGAATTGCGATCTGAGCTGGTGTAAGCAGATCGCAAATCTCGCGCATGCGTGGTGGAAATCTAAGGAATTCTCGTTCTGGCCTACAAGGAAGAAAAGAAATAGTCGAATAAACTCGTTATTTTTGTTTGTTTTTTCGCACAAAAAGTATTCACCTCGCTTGATAAACATATAGTTGAGCCACGGTAGTCACTTGCGATATTTAAACATTTTCTTCATTGACTTTTTGGGCCGTCAAGAGGCAGTCCCTTAGGAGCCAATGTGGTAGTTATACAGCTCTCAAATTTAATCAAAAATATCTTCATTTGTGTTCCGAAGACGAACGAAGGTCTTACGGGGTTGGTACAGCATGGGGGTGAGTAATTAATGACTTAATTTTCATTTTTGGGTGAACTAACCCTTTAAAATGGATACTGAAAATATTAAAATGAAAGCCAATATTAGTACATCAATAATTCTAAAACAACACCGATGCGCACCAGTAGTGAAACAAAAAGGCAATTTGAAAACTTGTAAAAATGTGTTTGTTCAGTTGAGTTCTCACCCACACCCACCCCCGACCCCCATAATTCATTGGGGCTCCGATGGGGGTCCCTCTGATGGGGGTCTCTGCTGTATGTTTACAGGTGTTTAGAAAATGGGTAGTTGTGTGAATGTGCGCGCATTTATAAATGACTAACACAACATATGGTGCTAATGTGACGCTCTTTTTGCTGCACAAGCATTTTTTCCATTCTCAGCTGTTTTCAGGCAGAACTGACTAAAGAGAATGGAAACTAATAGTGCCTTGGGCTTCCACACAAATGACACTGAAAATCACACAGTTACTAGAAATGTGCTGAAACCATCAATAATTCCTGCAGACAGATACAACCATAAAACAAGTAATGAGTAAGAACAAACCATTATTAAATGGACAGGAAGCTATCACAAAACTGTCATCTGAGGTGTAATAATAAGACTTATACAGATGACTCAGGTGGCTTCTGCTGTTCTGATGTCTTACAAGAACAGTGCACACAAACACAAGTTCAGTCATTATTTATAGACCCTGATGTGTTTGATCTTCATGTGGAAGACAAAAGGAATGGTTGAGCAGAGATTTTCATTCCATACAATAAAAGTGAATGGAGACTGGTGCTGTCAAGTGCCCAAAAATGTCAAAGCAGCACCATAAACAGTCTAGATGACTATTTGTGCACTACATAATAACCATATCATGTCACTTTTTATTTAAAATAGTGATTTTGTCATGCATTGCTCCCAGAGAGCAGCCAAAGGAAAAACCTCCAAAAGATGTTTAGATGAAGAGGGAGAAAAACCCAGAGAAGAACCAGATTCAGCTAGAGGAGCCTGAACTGCAATAATTGCACATATGCTAAATATCAATTATTCACATAGTAAGTGTAAATGCAACCATGTGTTCCCTGAATATATCCTTTAAAATGATTTAATTTTTTCAAAATTCTAGTCAGAAAAAAAATTAAGGATAATGATTTTTTTGGATAAACAACTAAGTGAATCATACTGTTCAAAACTTTGAGGTCAGTAAGATTTTTCTTTTTAAATAATGCTTTTGCTCAGCAAGGATGCATTATATTGATCAAAAGTTACAGTAAATAAATGTATTTTGCGATTATCATGAGAACATAGTCAATATCGCTCATAATTATTAGGACATACAAGCCTACAGGTTGTAAATAGTGTAATTGAGCACAATTTGCTAACTATTATGATAAATTGTAATAATCACGTCTAATGAAATCATAACGGCAAATGTTATGAAATAATGCAACGTACATTTAACTTTATTGATGCCATCTGACATTTTGTAATGTTTACATTACAATCAAAAAAACACAAATAAAATGATACAGTAATACTACACTATAGGCTATTTACCTTTTATTAAGCAGCAATCATGTAAAAACGTTATAAACCAGCAAACGCGATAGGCAACTTTATTATTATGAAGTAGTCTAACACTTGACATTTAGTTATTATTAAGCTATTACCAGTAGTTCAGTAAACTATGCAGTAACAGGGGATTTACGGTTATTTACGACAGTGCAAGTACACCACAGGGGTCGCTGTTTCACAAAAACATCAAAGCTGCATAGTGTGCCTGTTTGGAACAACATGTGGGTGAGTAAATGATGTAAATGTCTTTTATTTTTGGCT